TCACATATAAATTTTTTACTGGTAATATATAGAAAAATATACATTTAAAAAAATAAATTTGACTATTTAAATAATAAAAACATCATATGAGAAAACAAAATATAATAGATATAAGAAAATTGTAATTAAAACATCACATGGAAACATCAAAGTTCTATTTTCACGCAATGAAACAATACAATATCGCTAAATTGAAACAAATTTAGTAAACTTATTTGACAATATAAAAATAAAATGAAGTCGAAATAAACTGTGATGTGAAAATGAAAGTGGAACATTAAAATGTTCTTTCATATTGTGAAACAACATAATGTCGTTAATGTTAAATAATAAATTGTTGTTTCATAAGGTGAAACAATGTACTGTTGTTTTACAATTTGAAAATAAAACAAAAGTTGACGTGAAATGAGATGTGAAACACGAAAGTGTTGTTTCATACTGTGAAACAACACAATTTTGCTAATGTAAAACAATGTAGTTCTGTCTCAAATGGTAAAACAATGTAGTGATGTTTCACATGATGAAACAATGTACCGTTGTTTCACGTGGTGAAATAATGTAGTGTTGTTTCACCACGTGAAAAGAAACAAAAAGTAACAGTGAATTGTAATGTAAAACACTAAAGTATTGTTTTACAGAGTGAAATAACATACAAATTAAATTATTTTTATTGTTTAATGTAAAGGTTGTAATTACTTAAAAAAAATGTTAAAAAAATAATAATACATGTGTCAATTTAAAAAAATAAAAGGTTCAATTTTTGTATAACTTTTTTCATTTAAAATTTGATTTTAATTAATATATTTTGATTTAAAATTTTATTATATTTTAAATTTTAACTTTTTTCATTTAAAATGTTTTAGATTACATATAGAAAGAGAGGGAGGGGTGTTATATTAGATAGAGACTAGGGATATGTTTGACAAATTAACCGACAAATAGTTGGTGACTGATAAACTAACTATTAACTTATGAGCTACTTGAAGAACAATTCATATTTGGTAAAATTAGCTGATAAAATATAAAATAATTAAAAATGACATATTGAAAAATTAATCAATTATAATACTTTAAAATATAATTGAAACAAATTTCAAATAATATAATATATTAATTGATACAATAAGATG